GAAGCCATGGCAGTTCCTGAATCTGCCAAATGGAAGGAGGCTATGGACAGTGAGATTCAGTCCATGTATGACAATCAAGTTTGGAACTTGGTTGACAATGTACCGGGTCGTAAGACAGTCGGATGCAAATGGATCTTCAAGAAGAAGACTGACATGGATGGTAATGTACACACGTATAAGGCGTGATTGGTTGCAAAGGGCTTTTCTCAAACTCCGGGAGTTGATTATGATGAGACCTTTTCACCAGTAGCAAAGATTAAGTCTATTAGGGTTTTCTATTAAAAACAGATTTATAAAAAGATTTTGTAAAAAGATTTTCTCAGTCCTCGATTTGGGTTCAGGTGCACCCTGTGCTAGCCCGAATCCCTCAAACCAAGGATCTGATACCAACTTTTAACATCCCAAAATATTGAGTAGAATTTTCATTTTTAATCTAATTAAAAACCACCCATTCCATTTCATCAAAAGATAATCATAGTATGAAAGTAGCCTCAACAAATATCAGAGTAAAAACATAAACCGATAGTACGGAATCTCCAATGGATACGATGCAATCAGTTCAAGATATTTCCTTTGCTACCTGAAGTACATAAAACATTTAAACTTAAAACTATACACATAAACCTGGATGAGTTCCCCACGATACCACATACCCTAGCAGGCGTCACCCAATAAATATGTAAATGGGCCTCGCCCAGTGGTCCTACCCAATAAACATAATAGAGGGCCTCTACCAATAACATATAAACAGGCCCCACCCACTACCATATAAACAAGCCCCCCTTTAATAACATATAAATGGGCCCAACCCAATAATCATACAATAACCATCAAGAGTCACAAAGACAACAAGCCTCTAGCATCTTACATAGTATAGTGAGTAGAATCACCCACAGTCAAGCAAACAAACACTACAACTCACAGGAACATAAAGGTTGGCTCAACAACCGCCTAACAAGAGATAAAAGATAAAACCTCAGCCTATGAACCAAACCAATAGAGTTGACCTATAGTCAAACTTAGTCAAAAGTCAACAAAGTCAACTTATGGGACAACAGGCACGCAACGCCCTTCTAAGGGCACTATGCTTCCTTACGGGACAAAAAATTCGACTTCTTGAGTTAAAACAAGAGCGTTACAGAAAAGGCTAAAAGCGCCCCTCTCGCAGGAAAAGGGTTAGTGCTCAGGCTCATCTTATAAGGGTTTTCAACTTAATTCATTAAGTTAGAACCCCATCTTCAAGATCCAAACTCTAACAAGGTCTAAATGGATGAAGTTTACATCTTTATCCATTAAGACATGTGTAACACCCCGTTTTTTCTTTATAGTATAAATGACCAGTCACGTAAATAGACGTCTTTGATAGAAGAATATTTAGGATAAATAGTCTTGATGAAATTCATAGTAATCGCAAACCTGAGAGCATGCGTAGAGAGAACATCCAATCTGACTTCATAAGAGGAAGTTATGATTTTTAGAAGTTTCAGCGCATCAGTGTACGACACAGAAACCGAATTAGAGATCGGTCGATTGTTAGGAAAAAAAATCTAAAGAAGAATTGAAGACATATTATATATGATTCCGTCGATATAAAAACAGTCGAGAACGAAATTCATATGAGAGAATTATGATTTTAATACAGACTTTAACCGTCTAAGCTAGTTAAAAATACAACTTTATAAATAATTCGAAATTAGCCAACGGAGTCTAAATGAAAGTTGTATATATCGTTGATAGCTACACGTGGATATAAAGAACATCAAAAACGGAACTCATATGAAGAAGATATGATTTTTTTAATGAAATGCAAAATTTGTACCCGTAGGCGCACATGCAAACAAGGTGTCGCACGCACTGACACATTGACGCGGCCTTCTAGATTTTTGTCATGTGTCATACTCTGAGTGAAGCCACGTCACCAGCCCCGACAAGATACACGAAACTCATCTGGCCTACACGGCGTGCACACCTACTCTAAATAGAAGTTTTCGGCGTCAATCATTCCACATACCTCCCATACTCTCTCTCTCTCTCTCTCTCGGTTTTATCTCCAATTTGCCTAATTTTTCCTTAGTCTTAAGTATATGGCAAAGCCTTGAGGTCCTTGAGTGGTCAGCATTAGTAGCTATCAGGTCGGAGTTCTACCAGTGCAATTCTCGGACTTCTATCAGAAAAAAAATCTTGTAAGTTAAGTTATGCTTCTAGTGTAACTTATATTTATATTCATAGTCGTTGTCAAGGATATATATATATATATATATATATATATATATATATATATATATATATATATATATATATAGGATAGGATTTATCAGTAATTTCAGTTATAATGCTAATTGATCTACTTATGGGAGAAGTGTCTAGAATGGTCATATTGGCTTGGTTGTTGGATTTCAAAAAGGCAATATACGAAAATGGTCCGGCCTCACAATCGTCTGGCCTGGTTGATCCTTGTTTGATAGTGCTATCAATTTCATTGGGATTAGTAATAGGTCTTGCATATGTTACCAGATAGTCAATGAAATTAATAGGTTAAAGTATTATATATTCATACTCGTTCAACGCCTTATACATCAATCGTCGGATTGCCAGTAGAATCGCCCAGATAGCTGCAATATTCTGAGTCATTGTCAAGGTGAGTTATCTCACTATACCATGTAGTACAATATATATCCATATATGTTAGGATAGGGATGATGGACTTAGTTAGGGGATGATGGTGGAACAGTAAAGAGGTCGGGAGCCTATAAGCATGCATGTCGACGAAATGGTAAGTAGGTCGTAGGTACACATTGACCCGTGCTGACGAAATGACATGTAGGCTATAAGTACATGTAGACACGTGTTGAAGATGAAATGGTTGTGTTGTAAGTCTAAAATACACATATTATTGGCATATCGTGAGCCATTGTATATATGCATGTATATTTATTGTGGTATATGGTATTTTGGGGAAGTCACTAATCCTAGCGCTTACCTAGTTGTTATAAATATTTTTCAGGTACTTCGTGAGAAGGGTAAGGTTCAACTGTACACACGCGCATTCATAACATGTTTCTGCATAATGTAATTATAACCTTGATACATTCAAATAAATAAAAATAAAAATTTTGGGATGAAAACCGAGACATAACAACATGCTACGTCAACCAATATCTAGACTTTTGCCCTCTAAATGGCCTTAATCACCTGGAAGAACTGCATGGCTTGAAGAAAAGGCTAAAGGTCCAATCTTTATTAACTCATAAGGTCCTAAAAGCAACACGGAGTGCATGAAAGATGTTTGATTTTATTCAACTCCAACATCTCACACAAAGGGGAAAATGAAGTATAAAAGGAACATGGATCAAGATCTAGCAAACAACATGGAAAGTTTGAAGCTTTATACTCACAAAGGTCTAGGAGATATGCAACCTTTCTAGATCTACAATGGCTCTTCACTTTTATGAACCAAAAGGGAACTTGTTCTTCAAGCTTCAACCACAAAGGGGGCAAAATAAGCTCTCAAGATAATTCTAAGCTCAAAACGAAAGGGAGGCTAGAGTTCTTGAAAACACTCTTTAGGGTTGATGGAGGCTTAGAACGATCCAACCATAGGGACTTGAGTGCCTTTGAATAGCTCAAAAACCCTAAAAACTTGGGCAGCCCATGGGCGCGTCGCGCTCCACATAGAGGGCATCGCGCTCACTGGGCCAAAACAAGCCCAATTCTCAATAAATGTCCGGTTTGTGCAATGCCCAAAAACATAAACCTAATTAAAAAGATACATACTGGGAATAGGATGTTACATTTGTTGTAACAGATTAAAACCAGAATTTCTCATAACTTTGGGATAAAAAAATGCACTAAATTTATCCAATTCTAAACTATTAGAACTTCTTTCAAACCACAGAAGTTAAATCCAACATGTTATACATTTAATTTAAGAGAATTTGTACACAGATTACTAATAAGATAGATATAATGTCATCATACAATGCAAAAGTTCTATAATTTATTTAGATCGGCTATAGAATCAATTCATTACATAAATTAACTTGCAACTAAAATTTCCAAAAACAGGGATTTAATTTACTTGAATCATAAAAAAACATTGAACAAAGGGTGGGTCTAATAGCAGGTGTTAGTCATAAGGACTCATCCCATTTTAATCCTAAAGGACCAACCATTTTAAAAATTATTCAAAAGCCAACTACAAAGACCATTATGTCATTTTCTTTATAACATGAGAGTAAACTTCGAATATATTTCATGTTTGTAAGATGAGTAAACAAAAGAAAACAATAGATATTATGGATAGTTGGTTGTCAAAATGATAAACATATTTCTATTTCATGCTCCGTTTTTTTTTTTTTTCATTTAGCTAGTTTTGTTGTATTCTATACATTAGGAATATTTTAACCGAATGAGAAGGATATGAAAAGAAATGTGTAAAAGTTAGACTGATAACAGTTTAGTCCAATATTAACTTTACAACCACAATCACTATTAAATGTGATTAGTAACACATATAAGTCATTCTTTATAGATTCCATATAGAGACTGGCGATTGGCGAATAAAGAACACTAAAAAAAATACAAATATATTTTACTGCAAAAAATCCAACTAAAAGGGTACCATGTTACCAATTTGGAGTCACCTTCATAAGTTAGCATATCATCTTGTATTGCAAAATCAAGCAAAAGAATAGTTGCAAAACAAATGTACTTGAACCAAGGATACAAGCCTTTACCCATTAACACAACCTGTTGAGCAATTGAGGTTTACAACACATATAATATACTGTCAACAAGATATTACTGCACAATGTTCATAAGAATGTGAATTTCAACTTCCTTAATATTACAAACATTAAATAAACACAACATCAAATTATATGTGATGTATTTAACTTTTTAATAAATTCAACAAACTTGGGGAATACTATTTGACATAAATGGAGTGGTCTTGCCTTCCTCAATGCGTATACTTTTAACGTTTCTTCCTCCACTTTATGTTAATAACTGCTACAATCAGATCGACCAAACATGAGTAGTGTTTCCATGTAAGAATTCACGTTGAATGAATATCCTCTAATCGGATCATTGCAATGTCCTGAGTTGGGCTCATAAACAACAAGCTGAGTCGGCTCAGAAAGATAATCGTCCACTTCCATTATCGGTCCTCCAGTCTTCCTAAAACCCACCGCCTTTATTGACCCACGTTGACCCTTAATTGTGTATAGCTTTGTAAACGATACTTGAACACCATTCTCCATCATCCATACATCACAACGAACTTGTTCCTCGGTGTTTATATTGTATTCAAGCATGACTAAAGATTCCCCTAGTTTAGAAATAGACAACCGTGCAAAAGGGTGGCTAGCTAAACTATCGGGGATGTCTACAACTTTGAAACTCTCATCAGTCATATCAAATGACATAATCAGATTATGAGTACGTAATCCACTATCTATACATGAAGAACACCAGTAGATATACCTATCAATAACTACCTGCGGTTGTCTAATTCGTATTGAATTACTCGGTAGATTGGTAGATAGACTTTTCCATTTCCCCGAACTAAAGGAATAAACCTCAACTTTCCAAAGATTGCTAATTTCGGTTTTCTTATCCATCCATGAAGGAAGTTGTGTGATCTGGATGATCTTGGGATCGATAGTAACAGGACAAACACCAAAAGCAAGAACGATTTCTTGGCGCGCATACAAGATATCAGGTACAACAAAAGCTATAGATTTTCTGATAGAAGGATTACAAACAACAGCCAATCTCTTTTTAAAGTTGATTTTAGAAGTCTCCGGATCCCAATGATAACCATCCAAACACAACAAGCCATGAGAACTACCAACTATTCTTGGAAGTTTAACGGACAGAGGAAGAGTAGGAACAAACCTCTGCTGGGGGAAAGAGTCGTCATCGACAAAAGAAACGTATTTTACTTCTCCTCTCGGATCTTTATACCATACAAAAAGATGGTGTGGGTGAGTATGGAGGACGCTCTGAGCAGCAACAAACTCTGCGCTGTCGATCAAAGACTTCCAAGCTTTTGAGACGGATCTGAACTGAATCAGTGATTTGACAGGAAGCCGCATGATGATTTCTCCTTGGATATGGAAAGGTAGTTCGTCTGACATTTTGATTTTAGGTGCCGGTGGTATATGGTATTTGACAGGAGGAGTAGTATAAACAGGAGATTTGGGGACTTTGGTTATTGAATACTTCAACAAAGGAGCTTTCTTGATAAATATGCAGCTTTGGGTATTAGAAATTTCAACAAGGGAACTTTCTTATGAATTATCCACAAATCTTGTCGGCTTGACTTTTTGGATCGACAAAATTACATAAATGGTCCCTCTAGTTTTTCATTTTATGTGGTTAGGGTCCAAACATTTAAATAGTTGTAGATTTGATCATTTTCAACAAGTTTTGTTGTGATTTTAGTCCTTTTCCGTTAACTTTAACAGCTTGCCTTTAACTTTTTTAAAATTACTATTTTACCTATGGGACCATTTCTGCAACCAAACTACAAGAATAATTCGTATATATCTTCTTTTTATTTTTATTGAATTATTATATATTAATAAATGTTATTTTTAATACATATTATTTATATCTTAATAAATATTGTTTTATTAGATTATTAATTTCTTTTAATTAAATTTTTTAATTTTTTTGTTATTAGGTATTTTAATTGGATTATTATATATAAATAAATATTATTTTTAATATATAATATTTATATTTTAATTAATATTATTATATTGGATATTAATTTATTTTAGTTAATTTTGTGTATTGGAGTAATTCTTCTTTATTGGATTATTATATATTAATAAATATTATTTTTATCCTAATAAATATTACATTATCAGATTAATAATTTCTTTTAGTTAATTTTTTTAATTCTATTTTTTTTGGATTAATTCTCTTTTATTCAAAAGTTACTTTTAATTTATTATTTTCTTTATATACAAAATATTATTTATTATATTATTAATTTATTTTTATTGTATAATATTAATTCTTTTTAATTTTATTAGTTCCAATAAAAAATTGTCGGAATATTTAAAAGTTTTGCCTCTTATCAACGAAAATCACCGTGATCACTGCCAAACACCTTCATCGATGGTCTGACGTAAACCCTACTAACTTTTTCCACCCAACATCACTGGTAGCCACCTACAAAAACCTCTTCACAATCTGCTGGAATCCTCCATATCCCACATAATGCACAACAAACTGATATAAACATTAAAAGTGGTGGTAGTGATCGGGTGATGGTGGTTGTGTTGTCTATCTCTAGTAGGATGTCAAGTACACCAAGAAAATTACACCATTTGCTTGTAAATAAAACATAATATAATGGTAAAAGGGGGCATCGATCCGCGGGGAAATGGTTGTATTCAGTTACCAATGCAATCCAATAGAACGAGTATAATAAAACGGACTAATTACAATTAATCTAAAAGGGGGTTTTGTGATTGCTTGAAAACTAAAAGACCTGAATAACTAAAAAGCTTGAAATTAAGGAAGATGATGAGATGCTCAAATATAGGAGACAATTGGTCAACCAAGGCAATTCAACACTATGAACATTTGTGTGCTTATCATTAAGATTCAATATGAAGCTTATCATTTATCCTAAATTGGTTATAGCAATCATGAAGCAAGATATGCTACAATTCCTCGTAGGTAGTATGGAGGTTGGGGAAGCCTGCAACATACCTCCTTAATCAAAGTCAAGGATTCAATTGAAACAATTAAACCCAAGAAAGTTGATATAGCCTTAAGAATGAAGGAATCCTCAATTCCTAAAGGATGTCAATGCTTACACATCGATAAAAAGTTTAATTAAAAGAAATTAATAACCTTATAAAATAATATTTATTACTATATAAATATTATATATTAAAAATAACATTTATTAATATATAATAATTCAAGAAAATTAAAATGAAGATATGTAGATATGGTTCTTGTACTTTCGTTGTAGAAATGGTCCATAAGGGTAAAACAGTCATTTTATAAAAGTTAACAGCCAAAATGTTAAAGTTAACGGAAGAGGGACCAAAACCACAACAAAACTTGTTGAAAAGGACCAAATCCACAACTTTTTAAAGGTTTGGACATTAGCCACATAAAATGAAAAACCACAGGGACCATTTTTTACATTTTTGTCTTTAGAGTGCTATTAATTTTAGACAAAATTGCAAAATTGGTCCATGAGATTTACAATTTTTTTACAAAGTTGAGTGGCTAAGGAATTTGATTTATGAAATTCCATTATGGCCTAAACCGATATCTACCATTTCTATCAGATGTGATAGTGCTTCTACCTTGGCTAAGGCTTATAGTCAAGTGTACAATGGGAAATCTAGACATTTAGGTGTTAGACATAGCATGATTTGTGAGCTCATCTAGACAAAAGGCTTAGCAAGAGATCTTGTACACAAGGCGGCTGTAGGGATGGGTTTAAAGTCCACTTAAAATCTTTTATATTGAGATACCCAATTCCCATCTAATATGATATTAGATGCTGAATTCAATGTGGAAAGCTTGATATTTGAAGATTGGAACACATTATTATCATCATCCCAAGGTATGTGTTCAGTACTGCAAGTTAAGGAGGTTGAATTTATATTCTTAATAGTTCTTTTGAAAAATTGCATTTGCAGGTGCAAGAATAAAAGAACTACCTATATAAGCATGAAGTTTAGCTGCTTCAAGAAGTTAGGACTTGGCTTTGATATGCTTATTGAAGGATGGGACACAAGCTAGTAAAATATAGTGTCAAGTTAGAACTTATGAGAATGTAAACTGTTGTGTGTATTATCTTCATGTATTCACTATGGATAGAAAGGGTTCAATCCTTAGTGACACCCTGATATTCAAATATTTGGATTATATAATATACTAATGTGAAATTCAATCGTCACGACATTTCATTTATGCATCAGTTTTGTTGGTGTTATGTTTCATTTTAAGTTAATCAAGATTACACTTAAATAGGGGAGGTTTGTTGGTGATTTGTTATCAATAATGTTATTTAAGTGTAATGGGATTACTTTGTTGACTAAAAATGATATTGATAAATATTAAACAAGTAAGGAAGGTGTGGAGTACACACTTGTTTAAGTTTGATCAAGTATTAAAGTATACTGTCATTTAGGGGCGAAGTCCCTGAACGAACGGGGGTCCGGGGGCAGCGCCCCTGCTTGCGTGGTCGAAGGGACGGCAGACCCTGGCGAGGTCGAAGGGGCAGAGCCCCTGGCTGGGGTCGAGCTGTATTAAAAATGCATCAGAAAATCCAAATTTTGAATATTTGACCCATTTTTGACTTTGCATTAATCCTTATATAAAACCCGGATTTATGACAGTTTTGACTGTCGAGAAAAACTGTTGTATGACAGTTTTGACAATTTTTCAGACAAGGAAGGTTTATAACCAATTTTTAGTCAGTTTTCTGGTACTTAAGAAATTACACCATCTCATTCTCTTTCTTTCTCTCTGATTTTCTCTGAGTCTTATCCAATTGAGGATTTGGGAGTACCACCCAAATACTTCGATTTGAAAGTGATTATCACGATTCTCAGATTTCCAAGTGCCACTAAACCATATTTCTAACAGGTCATTGTTTGAATGAGTGCCCTCAAAGAAAATTTGTAAACTTCATTGAAACCAACGATGAAGAGTCTTTCAACCTTGACTGACCGGATATTGACCTAGAAGAACTAGAAGGAGCAGAAGTCGCTCAAGAGGAAGGAGAAAGGGTAAATTGTTTGATCCAACGTGTCATGTTCTCTACAAAAATAGAAGATTTTTCTCAAAGAAATAATATTTTTAAACGTTGTTGTAGCATGAAAGGTAGAGTTTGCGAGTTGATTACCGGTAGTTGTGAAAGTTTTGTTCTAGGAAAGTAGTGGGACATCTAGGACTAAGGTCTGAAAAGAATCCTAAACTGTATGTTATTGGGTCGGTTCAAAAGAGTCCAATGGTTAATGTGACCAAGATTTGCAAGGTTCCAATTGCTATTGGAAAATACTATAAACAAAGAGATGATTTGTAATGTTATTGATATGGATGTGAGTCCTGTCTTACTAGGTCGACCATGGCAGTTTGAGGTCGATGTAACATATAAAGGGATAAGGAACATGTATATATTTAATTGAGGTGGAAGGTAATTGAAATGGTTCCAAATAATGATCAGGTCTCGAAACTAACTAGTGGTGAAACGATGAGATAACCATTAGTGCATGTGGTAGTAGTAAGAGTGTTTGTAGTAGAAGAGAAGGACACGACTCATGAGATCATACAAGCACTTCTTGAGGAGTTTCAAGCATTACTGAGTAATGAATTACCAAATGAGCTTCCTCCATTGTGGAATATCCAACATCACATAGACTTGGTTCCCGGAGCTAGCTTACCGAATCTACCACGCTACAAGATGATCCCGAAAGAAAATCAAATTTTACAAGAAAAAGTGGAAGAGTTGCTACAGAAGGGTTTCATTCGTTAAAGTATGAGCTCATGCACGGTTCCTATGTTATTGGTACCTAAGAAAGACGGAAGTTGGAGGATGTGTGTTGATAGTCGTGTTATAAATAAGATAACTATAAGATACAATTTACCTATCACACGATTAAATGATATGTTAGACATGTTGGAGGGTTCCAAGATATTTTCAAAAATCAACTTGCGGAGTGGATATCATCATATTCGATTAAAGCCAGGAGATGAATGTAAGACTGCATTTAAAACAAAAGACGAATTGTATGAATGGATAGTGATGTCGTTCCGACCGTGCAATGCCTCAAGCACTTTTATAAGTCTTATGAATCAGGTACTACTACCTTTTATCGTTAAATTCATTGTACTATATTTTGATGATATATTGGTTTATAGCCGTGTTAAAAGGATCACGTCGGACATTTAAGGCACGTTTTTGGAGTTTTGAATAAAAATAAGTTTTATTAATCTGAAAAAGTGTGATTGGGTGAAAGAGAAGTTGTTGATATCGGGGTATGTTATAAGCTCTAAAAGGATTTTGGTTGATGAGGAGAAAATCAGAGCAATCAAAGAATGGCCTAGACCCAAAAAAGGTTTCAGAAGTTAGGAGTTTCCATGGGTTGGCGAC